TTAACTTGTTTGTTTTTCCTATGTCTGTTTTCTTTTTTTTTCCTTTTCTTTCTCTCTCTCTCTCTCTCTTTTTTTTTTTTTTTTTGAGAAGAGAATATTCTTTTATTAAAGTGCAAGTGGGGCTGGGAAAAAGATAACTTATGTTTTTAACAGCATTAAAAAATAGAATATATTTTTAATATATTAAAAATAGAGAAGCAGAGGAATTTCACATCAAGTGATTTCTTCTGTATAAAAATGTGTTTTAAACCAGGATATTTAAATGTGTTACAGCACTTAAAGAAAAATAATAAGTTTTAAAGTCCTTTTTATTTAAAATTCAACATAAATAGGTATCCGGTTTTAAAGCATAAATTCCTAGTTTCATTTCTTTTAAAAAAAAAATGATAAAAGCCTGTTGTGTTCAAAGGCATCTGAATGCCTTTGAATGACATATTCTCAGCACCTTCTTTGGTGGTTACCTTGAACTAGTGTGAGACTGAGTGACTACAATGTTTGTGTGGCAAGAATCAGTTTAGTTTGCATTATAATACTTCCACCTGGGCTCGGCGCCTGTAGCTCAGTGGTTAGGGCACTAGCCAGAAGCACCAGGAGTGGTGGGTTCTAACCCGGCCCGGGCCTTCTAAACAAAAATAGCCAGGAGTTATGGGTGTCTATAGTCCTAGCTGCTTGGAAGGCTGAAGTAAGAGAATCGCTTGAGCCCAAGAGTTTGAGGTTGCTGTGACACTATGGCACTCTACTGAGGGCAACAAAGTGTATAGTGAGAGTGTCTCAAAAAGAAAAATAAAAAGCTCTCATAGCACAGTGGTTACCGCTATAGCCAGCCACATACACTGAGGGTGGCAGCTTCAAACCGCCACCTGGTCCAGGCCAGCTAAAGGACAACTGCAACAAAAAATAGCTGGGTGTTGTGGCAGGCACCTGTAGTCCCAACTACTTGGGAGGCTCGGGCAAGAGAATTGCTTAAGCCCAAGAGTTTGAGGTTGTTATGAGCTGTGATGCCATGGCACTCTACCGAGGGTGACATAGTGAGACTCTGTCTCAAAAAACAAAACAAAACAAAACTTCCCTTGCTAGGGAGGCCTTTGTGTTTTTTAAAGCCTTTTCTTGTGTTGCTCCTTTAAGAAGTCAGTGTTACAGTTTCACTTTGTTTCAGAGAGGAAGGCCATCCCGTGAGCATAATGAAGAGAAAAGGTACACTCTGCACTCTTACCACTTTCCTCCAGCCTAGTGGGAGAGGACTTGAGGCAGAAAGGGTCGCCTTCGACTTCCTGGTAGTGTAACACGGAGGCAGATTGGGTAAGAATGACCAGTTAGGTTTCCTTTCAACTTTGATAGAAACTTGAGGCAAACCAGTCACCATACCACAACCTTCAAACGAAAGCATGTCAAAATGTAGTATAGTCATCTCTCGGCATGTGCAGGGGATCCGTCAGATCCAGGGCCTTCTGTGTATACCCAAATCTGCACGTACTCAAGACCTGCAGTCAGCTCTGTGGAATCTGAGTACAAGAAAAATCGGCCTGCTCTATACGTGGGTTCCATATCCAGCAAATACTGTAGATATATTTTTGATGTGCATTTGGTTGAAAAAAATGCACATCAAAATGGTTTATACCCATGCAGTATAAACCCCTGTTATTGAAGGGTCAACTGCATTTTCAGGTTCTAGGATAACTGGTCAAATCACTTTCATTTTTTTTTTTTTATTGCTAAGTTTATATGTATTTATTTCTCAATTTTAAATAGGCTCATAAGCTCATGCATTCATAAGGAAAATTCTAACTTTCAAAAAATATTTCTTTGTCTGGAAAAAACAAAAAAACGTGCAGCATATTTTTCCCTACAGTAAAAGTGTGTCAGAGTTATGAACAGTGAATAGCGTCTTTTGTGAAAAAGAAACACTGTTTGATTTTTAAATAGAGACACAGCAATTAAACCATCGTGAGTCAGTTACTTCCAGTTGGCTACTTAAAACTTTTCTATATTTTGTAGATTTTCCTCAGATAGCTTTGTTTGCTTTTAAACAGGAAAATAAACCTGGTGTGGCAGCTTTTATGAAGAAGTAAGAGAAAGAGTGAGTACATAGGTCGGGCAGGTCTGGGGGGCTGAGGACAAATGAGAACCCAGGCTCATTGAGCAAGACAGGAAGGGAAACCCAGGTTAAGGGAAGGAGGATTAGTCCTCTCCCGTGGGCGGCTGGGCGTGATAAGCCACATACTGGATGTTCTCATTTAGCGCACTGATGGTTTGGACCAGGGAAGGATAGATCCATCTCAATCCTCATGACGTAGCTGTTGTGCCATTCATGCATTTCATCCCTACTTCTTCATATTCTTTTTGTGTCAGTAAACCTAATGTTATGCTTGTACTTTCTTCAGATTTGGGTAACACAACTGCAACGTAGCCTTCAGTAGATGGCCAGATTTACACAGAGGTGCAAGTTCTTTTAGAAACTGTGCCCCCCTTCCCCAGTTAAATTTCCCGAGAGACCTTGTTCTGAAGTCTGCTACACTTGTTGCTAATCTGATAGGAAATGCATTTAATTGTTTGTCCACCTTGAAGGACTGGATGAGATCCTGCCACTGTGATGACACATATTCGATTAGAGTGGTCCTCCCAGGGTTTTCCCTTGACATCCGCTTTGTACCAGCAAGTGAAGTAATGATCCACAAGCGATGGTACCTCCAGCTCCGAGGCTTCGGGCTTGGTAGCCATGGCGACCCCCAGTGCCGCTACCCCCCAGCCTCTGGACCGGAGCACTTCCTCCCTGTCTGTTTTCTTTTAGAAGAGCATTTCAGTTTCTATCCTTTTTGGGTCGTAATCTGCTAGTTTAGTAAATAGTGTATTTGGAGCATTTATCCCAATATATTATCTGCTTTTCTATCTCCTTTTGCAATGAGTAGTTTTTTCTAATCATATCAACATGGTATAGCTATTTTAAATATTTCCTTATAATTCAATATGCATTTTGTTTTCCGTTTTGCTTTTATATACATCAGTTTGAGTGAAAATTTGCACATATTTATCACTGTTTTCTTAGGATGAACTTCTGCCAGTGAGGTGGTGGTGGTGCTTCTTCAGCCCCTTGAGACTTCCCTTGAGCACCACTTGTCATCTGTCCTCATTGTTGCATTTGGCAGCTCTTTGTCCTTACATGCCTAACAATGGATGTTTGATCTAATATATTGATGAATTATTTGTCAGTGTTCAGAATCATCAGATTATCACAGATGATCTCTGTGCTAGGAAATCTGTTTTGAACAGACCAAATGCTACAAATGCTTTTTGTGGGGGGGGGGTTGTAAAAACAAAAAACAAAACAAAACAGAATTTCCCCCAAACCAAGAGGAATATGTAGCACTGACTGTCTATGGCCTGAAAAGCCCAAAATACTGTACTTAACTGTCTTCACCTTCACAGAAATAGTTTGCTGTGCCCTGAACTGAAGGCACAGATAAAATGGTACATACGCTTAGTCCTTGTTCTTGTCAGACTTCCTGTATAAAATTTCATATTTAAATTTGCACATAATCTCATCCCTTATGAATAGCACAGATGCCATGATGCTTTGATGGTTTTGAAAAATTAATTCCTAGGTAAATAATTTTTATTTCTTTCTTTATGTAACCTTCGAGGATAATTACCATGAAAGAATAAAAAGTATAATTTAATAAAAAATGAAAATGTGCTCAATGACTTCATATATCTTAAAGGAAAAAGAGAGAAAACACAGAAAGTTGTTTTCTAATGTGCTGCCCTTTTTTTGGTCATAGATAACAAAAAGCAAAATGATGTAGATTTTTTATTTGCTGTATTACATAAAAGTATTTAGCCGTTAAAAATTCCCCTGAATGCTACAAAGCTGCCACAATTATGTGTTGCATTCATATTACTTGAATATATAACAGAGATTTTTCTGAGCGCTTCCAATGTTCTGGATTTTGTACTTTACACAGTTTTGAGGTTGGACGTGGATTCTACGCCTGACTTCCCCACCGACTTTCCATCTTTCATTTGTTCAATGTTTTCACTTCCCTAAACCCGTTTCTTCATTTGCAAAATGAACGTAGTATTATCTATCTCACAAGGTTGGTGGACCTGGTTTCCAACACAAAGTGATATTATCTCAAATAGGAACTAGAGTAAATGTATTCTGGTCCCTACTCTATTATAGATCAGTAAGTGGGAAAGTTACTTTATTATTCTGGGCCTCAGTTTTTGCATATGTAAGTGGAGATGGAAATAATCTGCATATGTTTGTCAAATCTTTACAACAATTAATACATTAGTGCCCAGTAAATATTGGCCATTTTAGTTATTTCTGTGATTTTATGTCTCACTGTATGTAGCATTTATAACTTCCGCATTTTACAAGAATATTAAAAAACATAGATATATGTAGATAAGAGAATATTAAAACTATTTTTATAGCCTTTAGTTGACTTAAAAAATAGACTGATTCATGGCACTCCCTGGGCTTCATAATTCCTTCCTGGGGAACATGCTGTGGTTACTTGTTTTAATTTTGATATAACAGACTTTTAGAGCTGCCTATCCAAACTCCGTGATACCCAGTTTTAGAACCATTGGTGCCCACATGGGAAGGGAAATTCCTGGACACAGTACTGTGTAGGAACACTCCTTCCTCATGTCAGAAACTCCTTCCTTGCCCCTAGAAGCAGCTCTTCTTTCTCAGAGAGTGTACTGAAAACTGAGTAGGCACGTGGGAAGATTGACTCATTTGCCACAGAGAACAAACATACGGACTTACCTGCATATCCATAAAGATAGGAAGATGCTACGTGGTATCATCGGGCCACGGGAAACGACAATCCAGCGAGACTGAGCTGGTTAATTCATGTCCACAGGAGGATCTGTGGGAATCAAAGATGATGATAACTAGGGATTTAAATTAAATTAAAATGTAATGAAAATTTCCTAGCCCTTACCATTTTTTTAGGGCAAATGAAAAAATTGATGTTAATCTTTGCTTTCAGAGAATACGGAGCCATTGATGATGTGGACATTGATCTGCATATTGATGTGAGCTTTCTGGATGTAAGTATAGCAATTTATGCAATATTGGTACAGGTAAAAGACATATTTTGATTCTAGAGAGGAATGTAATTTTTGGTTATAATACAATTGTTTGTATAATGACTATTAAAGTGGTTTGGAAAGACATACTGTGACTTGTTAAAGCAGCAGAAATTGTATGTAGTTTTTCTTTTGCCTTGATTCTTTTAATATATTCTGAAATTTATGGGCTCTTATAGTACTTTATTGTATCTTAAGTTTTCAATTTTAGTTTTCACATGTGGAAAGGAGATAACCAGTACTTTGGCCTTCTTTTCGTACAATAGTGGGTTTGGGGATAACTTTTTTGGCCCTTATAATTTAAGCATCTCTGTATCATAAGTTTTTTAAGTTTTTTTTTTTTTTTAAATTTTGAACTCTACAAATGACTAATTCATCTTGTACATGTATTTGTGCAGGAGGAGATTGCCGTGGCTTGGGAAGTAATTCGAACAGAGCCTATCATTGTCCGGCTGCACTGTTCACTCACACAGTATTTAAACGGCCCAGGTCTGTTTCATTTCTCTCTTACTTGGAATGTTAATTAGCTGTGCCCTGTTCCGTAAGCAAAATGTGGGTTCATTTGGTAATTCTGAGCATAAGCACTAAGTACCTTGATAATCATATTTAAATAAGCTTGCATCCTAAGAAAATGGTTTATTACCGATATAACTTATGGAAACAGAAACGTATAATGTTTACTTGTGTATGTTTTCAGAAGCTGACACGTGTCTGAGAAACAAATAACAAAAAACCCTAAAAGAGCACTTCACGCATAGTAGAAACTCAATAAATACACGTTTGAGGTTGTCCTTAGATTCAATTATTTCTGTCTCTGATTTTTAGATTTACATTTTTTTGTTTTTGTTTTTTAGAGAAAGGTCTCATTTTGTTGCCCAGGCTGGAGTGCAATGATGCCGTCACAGCTACTACAGCCTCGAACTCCTGGGCTCAAGTGATCCTCCTGCCTCAGTCTACTAAGTAGTAGGGACTGTACGCACATGTCCCCACATCCAGCTAATTTTTAAAAAATTTTTGTAGAGATGAGGTCTTGCTCTGTTGCACAGGCTGATTTCAAACTCTAGAGCTCAAGTGCTTATCCCACCCAAAGTGCTGGGATTATAGTCATGAGCCACAAGGCCTGGCCCCTGGGATTTAATTTCAATGTTTACTTATCCCATCGTTAATTACTGGTTAAATTAACCTAATTGTAATATATTTCTGTTTTTGACAAATGGAGATCATACTTGCATTTTTTGTTTTCTGAATCCTTAATGGATGATACTGCTATATTTCACCTGATAGCTGTTTAGAACAAAGAACCCTATTATAAGTCTTGCCAAAACTTATTCATTAAGATGTTTTTTCACTGCTTACTAATAATACAAACATATGCACAGCTGTACCCACTCATATTGTTTCCGTTATCAACTGCTGCATTAAAAAACCACCCCCCAAACTTAGTGCCATAACATAACTCTCACTCTTGTTATGCTCAGATGGGCAGTTCTTGCCATGAGTTGCTTGTGACTTTGCAGTTAGATGGTGGCTGGGGTGGATGTCATATCATAGGTTGGATGCCCAAGATGTGGGACTGTTGAATGGCTCATAGTTGATGCAGGTGTCATCTCAGCACTCAGCCGTGGCTATTTACCAGACTTCTACCTGACACCTGACTTCTGTGTGCGTGGTTTGGTCTTCTTGTACATGGTGACTGGGGCGGAATGTGAGCGTTCTAAGAAACAGGATGTGGAAGCTACTCGGAGAGGGCACAGGGAGTTTTCCATTGTCATCTGTTGATGTGAACAGTAGAAGAGCCCTCCCAGAATCAAGGGATAGGGAGCAAGACAGCACCCCGGAAGTGGTGGCTTTCTTTCATCTGCCACACAGATCTTACACATACCTCCAGGCATATCAAAGAACATCATCTACCCTCAGGTTTCACATGAATGGGAAAAATACTTTATCTTTCCAATTTATGAAATACAGGAAAATCTTTTACTTCATCTATTTTTGTATAGTACATTCTATTTAAATTAAATAACCAATTCTTAATACAATAGCTTATGCTAAGTGATGTGATTTCATGATAGACAACAAAAATGTTAAATGTTTTTTCATATAGAAACATAATTAAGAAGGGAAATAATTACTCCTATTTCCTCCATATTGAAAAAACTGAATGGTTTAGTGGTGTTTCTGTTCTCTTTGCATATGGGTTTATTTTAGTAATGTTGATATTGAATTGAATAAATAGCTGTACATCTTTTTTTTTTGATTATGCATCTTAATGTTATGTCATGAGACTGTCCTCATTAAATCATCTACAAAGGAATGATTTGTAGTATCCTCACAGTAGTTCAGCCTGCATGTGTATGTGTGCGTGTTTTCTGGCTATCCTCATACTTGGTTATACAGCTAACTGTTTTTTTTTTTAATTTAATGATTTGCTATGTGCCTATTTGATTTTATTCTGGTGGTGGTTACAAGAAAAAGAAGCGCTTATGTCTGAACTTTTTTTCTTTTAATATTTAGGGTTAAGAATGAAATTGGGTCTGTTAGTCTCTATTCATCCAGACCCCATGTGTGGGACATGTTACCACAGCTTGCTTTTTTATGGAATCTTACGATCGATACTTATTTACTTATCTTGTGACAGAATCTTGGTTTGAGGCAGATTTTCCTTAACAATACTGTCAATGATATTTTTTCTCACTTGCAACATTTTGTAAATATTCTAACAATCATTTTAATCCATGTTTAAATGCTTTTGTTATTCAGTACTACTACTACTTTAATATCACATCTCAATCTGTTCTTTTTTTATCTCTGTTGGTTGATTGATTTCTATAACAGCCTGCAAACCAAGGAAACCCGAGGGCTGTGCTTTGTTTTTTCGTGCCTATGAGTCACTTTTTGTTTTGCGAACAAGGCAAACCCGACCAAGTAAAATTTGTGGGATTGTGATAGTTTTCCCCCAAAAGAGCTGAAAACGCCTTAGAAACTTTTGCTAATTTTTATCTAAAGTATTTCAACTTTTTTCTGTGTGTAAGAAATCTGTTTTCATTTGTTTTGATTGTATTAGCTGAACTACTTTTTTCGTCTTTTCCTTGATTATCTCTTCTGTATTTATTTCTGCTTGGTAGGCCTAGGTCTTAATTCAGCTCAAGACATTTTATGTAAATTTTTATTGTTCCTTCCCCACCTGCCAGTCCCACCATGCAGACTGGACCTCCTCCGTCCTCCATCCTCTGTTTCCCTGGTTCTTTCGTCCGTCACAGGTGGGAACTTTGTTTTTTCTGATCTGTCTTCTGCTCTAGTAAGTGATTTTTCTTTTCATGATTCAATCTGGAATTGGCTGTTTCTATTATGTTTTTAATTCAGCCGCATTCTTTACTGATTCCATATTATTCCCTCTTTATCATCAAGACTGTTTTCATTCTATTTATTCAGTACCCTTTTGAATCTTGCTGTGAACACCCAGCAGTAATTGCCCAAGATTTATCATTTTATTGCTTATAGATGGAGTTTCGTTATCCTCAATATTATATTCAAGCATAAATGGAAACGTACTTCTTTCAGAAATTAGTGTGATTTGTGTATAATTTCTTCCAGTAACAAAAGAAAGAATTTTACATTTGTTCTTGTTCAGATTCAGCAGTTTGGGGATCTGACAGCTGGAGGGGCCGGGCTGGGAACTCTGTTGGGGTCCTCTCCTGTGTGACACTTCCTGCCACCAGCCCTTGCTCCCCTTCTACCTCCTTTCTGCTCACTTTGCTGCTAACGGCTCACACTAAGAGACCTTCAGTAGATTATCTGCGACAAATGAGCTTTCTCTTTCCTGGGGAGAGCAGGTGAGCACTCTCTCCACACCCTTACATGTGACTCATGTGGGGATATAATGGCCTCGCTCCTCCACCTCAAGGCCGGACAAGCTCTCAAGTGTAATTTTTGCTTCAGTTTTACCCTCAGGATGGGGCTGAAGCCAGGACTTTTCTGGAATTTGTACCATTGCTTGGCTTTTTCTCTTTTCCTGTCACTCTCCCCCATCCTGTAGCCTTTTCCCGATTTCTTCTGAGAGCATTTTTACTAAATTATTTTGCCTGTAATCCTCAGTCGGGGTCTGCTTCTGAGAGAACTTGACCTAAGATGGTAAGTCAGAAATGGAGAGCGAGGTGACTGTCTGCTCAGGCCCCACCAAGCCAACCCTTGGCCTCCTGCACTGCCCCCCACCCCCCGCCCCCGCTTCATTCTCTGCATCACGGTTCATCTGCCCCTCACGGTGAGAGGTGTTTTTGGTGGTTGGCTTCTAGCATCTGTCTCTTTCATAGAATAAGGAGTTTTGCACCAGCCCTTTAGGGGTTCTTAAGACTGGTTCCATCTGCTGTGTTTGTAGCAGAATTTGCTGGAAGTTCCTAAGATGGGCATGGCACTGCTCCAAGGTTCTTCTTCTTTTGCTGGCTCCCTTCTGTTTCTGTTGTGCACAGGTTATGCTGGTGCTTGTGCAATAGTTTGTACTCACATTACCATCTTCCTGGCAAACTCCTCAAAAGGCTATCTTTTCCTTGTTGAATATTCGAAGAAAAAGTTTGTTTGAAAATTCGCAGTAACCTTTAATATATGACTTGAAGTAGGGGTATTACCGAAAAGGAACGTGTAATTTATTATCCCAGAAGAAATAATTAGGTTTCATTCTAGTTTATGATTTGGATTATTGCAAGGTTATAAAAAAGCGAGAAACTATTTCTTGAAGAGTTTTTTACAGCGTATCTCTGAAGGTATCAGCATTTATAGTCAAACAAACTTGCAAACAAAAATTATGTCTAATTCAAGATTTAGACCGACCTACTTAGTCCTTTTTGAAAAGCATATACTTCTATGGTGCAGGAATGTGTGGATATCACTTATTTGAACTACAGTATTTGGCTAGAGCTCATCTGACAGTGTGTCTGTGAGTGAACAAGTGTGAGAAGAATCGAGCAAATATATCTCCTTACTCACTTGGAACTTAATGATAAAGACTATTTTTATTGTGTGGGTAGAAATATACTTTAAATATAGATGTAATATAACCTGTTATTCTTGTGAGTAAATATATTTTTTTCCAGGTGGTGCCTGTGGCTCAAAGGAGTAGGGTGCTGGCCCCATATATTGTAGGTGGCGGGTTCAAACCCAGCCCTGGCCAAATACTGCCCCCCCTAAAAAAATATATATATACATATATATATATATATACATGCATATATGTACATATGTATATATACATGTATATATATATATTTTTTTTTTTTCCAGAATTACTGATAATGTAAGTGTACTTTCTTATCTCAAGGACAAGGCTGTTTTTAGTTGAAAATAAGGAACCATTAACATTACTTTAAAACATTTTCTGTGCACATTCTGATTATTATTATTATTATTGAGATATAGTCTCACTTTGTCACCCTCAGTAGAGTGTGGTGACGTCACACCTCACAGCGACCTCAAATCTTGGGCTGAAGCAATTCCCT